ATCATCATTAATTATCAGATCGTATTCCAATACCTACAAAACATAGAACATTCTCTAACTAAAAGTTCATGAGGTATGATTTATTCCATGTGAACGATTACTACTTTATTTTACGAAAGCATTCAAAGAAATGAATAACATGTTCTGTTACTTAAATTATAATATATATTTACAGGTATTAAATAAGACCATTTCTTAAGAAAAAAATATCTCAAAAATGTTATTGTTCGAGTAATTAAATTTTTAATAGGTCTTCAAGAATCGCAGCAACTGCCACAGACAGACTGCTTCTAAATTCAAATCCACTTAATCAGCCTCCTTCTACAGCTAAACGTCCATATAATCCGCCCAAAAGAAAAAAGCTTCTGGTCAAGAGACTTACTGCATTGAGGTGCTTGCTTTAATTATTATTTTTATGTTATACTTTTTTCTTGTTACGTTATTTGCTTTTTTTCTTTAGTTTCGTTTTGTATTTTACTGGTATCTAATTGTTAGCTATTTTCTATAAATCGTATTCAGTCTAGCTTGTTAAGTTTTTTTTTTTCTACTTGTTCTGTTCCCTTTGTTATCATATATATTACTTAATATCATATTTGCTTATTGCAATTGTAGGTAGCAAATTTCTCTTCTCTTCATTGAAAAATGTATCTTATAAATAAATAAATTTAAAAGAAGAATTTAATGTATTATTTTTTTTTCTTAAAAGTGTATATTTATAATGTTTTACCACAGTACATACTTTTAAGTGTTTTGTACATAGGTTTATTTATTTCGTACATAGCATGTTTAACCAACGTTTTCTTTTTATTTTTTGTTATTGTTTTTATTCAGGCCAGATGTAATCTTATAATTTTATTATTCTAAAGGGATTTTGATCTATCTATCTATCTATATACATATATATATATATATATATATATACTGATACAAGTAACAACTTATTGGGGAGAGTGGCATGTTAAGACGGATTTCAAACATGTTTCGAAAAACAAAAACGCAACCTTCTAGCAGAGGCATTTTTTTTCTCTAAGTGTTCATTTTAATTACATTTCGTTTTGACAAATGAAAGCACGGGTTGATATCTGATAAATTTTTTTACTGTTATCAATGAGTTATAAACTATGTTTCTTTTTATAAATTCTAACTCAGCCTTACTAAATTTTCCAATTTTATAGGAGGTACAAAAAATGTTACTGACTTCGTTAGTAATGACGTTCTTTTTTATTATTTATTGCAATGTTCAATTTCAAACCTCTTGTAAACAAAAATTTAAAAAAAATGCTTAAGTAAATAAGCAAAAAACTTACAAAAATAATTTAGTTATTTTAAGTAGATAAAGCAGATTTTGAATATGGTTGCTTTACTTTTCGGAACTTGCTGTGGCACTCTTTCGGTCAAATTAACTGAAATTTCTTATGCATGAATGTTTTCATAGAGGAACTATATCATAAAAACTCGAATTAAATTTCGGCATGTCGGAACTCCTTTTAAAACTTTTTGTACATCTACAGACACTGCAAATAAAGTGAGAGCTGGAATTTCGCGTATACATTGAGTTGGAGTTAAAGAAATGTTTATTTGGTATCTAAAGATTTGTTTACAACTCAAGACCATTTCTCTACGTTTTGCGCACTACCTTAGCGAGCCAAATTTGCTTTTTTAGGATTTAAAATTTCTATTTTAATTGACTTGATGTTACAGATGTACCTTTTGAGGATATAAACATGCTTCCTCTTGTATCGTCATTTTTATACTGTTTAACAGATTTTTTTAAGGCTTTGTGAACAGCTGCTAAAAGTGTTTGAAAATATAAGGGATTAAAGTTTGTATATAAACAGTATTAGTATTCTTTATTCTACGTTCCGTGTTATTTTATTCTTCAGCGGTCGAAACCTTGAAAAAAAAATCCCTTGAAATCAATAAAAAATCTCTCTATATTACAAAAAAATATGAGTAGAAATATTTTCTATATTTTATTGTCCAGTTTTAATACTCCAATATTTATCGTCTTCATGTTATCGTCAAAGCAGTTAAAAATTGATTTCAAAGGTATTAAAAATATTAAATAAAGTAATAAAAGGGAAATAAAGTCGTTTTATTCCCTCGAGAATATAAATCCGTCACTAAAGAATAAATTTAAAAAAAAAAGTTTTTCTCTTTGACACTCTACTGTAACAATTATGAAGAACATTTTTAACTCGATGTAATTAATTATTAGTCAATTTAATTAGTTGATTGAATCAAAATTTATATCAAGTTAATAAATAGGTATCGATGTAAAAAAGCACCTGAACATGATCCTCGAAACTTGGCATTACCATTAGTCCTTTTATTTCAAGTTGGAGACCGAAAAATCTATTAGCCAAAAAGGATGTACTAATTTTTATGAAACTCTGTTAAATTCTTCTCCTCGATGCCTTGCTGGATGCTATTTACAATTGCCAAATGACTCAAAAGATTAACTTTGTATATTTCTTTTCTTTCATCAAGATTCTGGTTAATGGCCGCGATTTTTCATCTCACATTTCTGCAGATTATACCTAACATCAATTCGGATGCTGTAACTCTAATGCAAGACAAAATTAGATAAGCAACTGAAGTATTAGCACCATAAATTAAAAAAAAATGTGATTTTTGTATTTTTAATTCTTTCTTATGGTACTCAATTTTTTTTAACTATTAATATATTTAAGTGTAATATAATATAATATATAGGTACATATATATTTACAAGGTTTGTCCTTGCACTGCCCTTGGGAATTAATTTTCGTTATATGATTTGGACTATCTAATCAACTCCTGAATCAACCTCTTTGTATTTTTAAGGTATTATGTACACAATTTAACACTTTTCTGTGTTTTACTAAACGAAAAAGCTGTCTCCAGTAATAACATAGTTTTTAAACAATTACCTCGATCGGTGCATGGTTCATTTTATCCTAAATTTTATATATAACTATGACATCATAAGTGTACAGGCTATATAGTATTTTGCTATTTGCATATGACATTCTAGATGACGAAATAAATATGAGAAATCTAAAATTTCTAAAAAGATATATTTTATTTATGCTGGGTTCCTAAAAGTCGCTTGGATGTTTGGTGAAGAAGAGAGTGTTCGTGTTGTGGAATTTCTTGGATGTCCATTAACATACAGATTCTGTTATGGCCTGCTCGAATTTGGTTATTGTCCACTTTTTCTGTATCAAAAAAAAGTTGCCTACGCCTGTTACTGCATAAATTAAAAAGTTTAGCATTGTTTATTTTTCGCGTTTTTTCTTCTTTTAACATTCATTTGTACAGAAATCATAAAGGCACTAAAACGTCCCCTAGTTCAATCTAACATGCCACTTTCCGTACTCTTATTATCCGAAAAAGTGATAAATCTCATCTGTTTGTTTCCTTTATAGTCACTTGACCCATTTGTTCTTCATATATTCATTCAAGGCAAACGTTATGAGTTAATATATACGTTCAATGTGCAGGTCTGATTTTCAGTTTCTGAGATATTTTAAGCAATATCTTTCATAAAACTTGTTATAATTTGGTTTTCGACACTATTTCTCCTTTTAGCCTCTCTAACACGTTAAGACACAATTTTGAATAATAGCCCATTACAGAGAGGATTAAATGATGTACAATTTCTTCGCTTACAGTATACGGATCAGATTTTTAATTTATGAGTTATTTTGATCCATATCTTCAATAATACCGCGTCGCGTTAAGATAAGATTTTGATTAATAGCTTATTACGAAGAAATTGAAATGATGAACATTTCTCTCACTTACAGCATGCAGGTCCAATGTTTAGTTTTTGAGATATTTTAATCCATATCTTCAATACAACAAGTTATTGATTGGTTTGTAACTCGTATTTTTTACCTTTTCGCCTCTCTTATACACGTCGCGTTAAGATAAGACTTTGAATAATAGCTCATTACGAAGAGAATTAAATGACTAACATTTCCCTTGCTAACGATATTCAATTAGTCGACTCCAGCCTGCTTTACCCGAGCGTTACTCATCGGAAATCTGACAGTTCAATCTAGTTCACTTCCCACACAAAAGTGCAAAATGTGCCTAAAGAAGTTTTCACTTCAAAAATTCAAAAGCTAGACGAAACGTTCGATTCTCTGGACATGTTTTTTTTTTCACTCTCTCTTAGACATTCTCTTATAATAAATTAAATGGAGATCATACTCCTTGATTTTTCAAGTATTGAATCCAATGTTGAGTATGTTTGTTGATACGAGTAACGTAGCCTTTTTTTTTTTTAATTTGTTTTTCAAGGATCCCTAACTTCTTAACCTAATTTACTTTCAAATGAACAAAGTGTAAATAAATAAGAAAACAATGATTAAGTTGAAACAAAAATTACTCTTCTGCTACGAAAGTAATTTAAAAAATTGATATAAATAGAAATGCTTCGCTTGTCTATTTAATACAAGGTTATCATATGATTACATCGGTGTACGTGGTTTGATATTGAGGTAAAATTGAAAGTGATTTTATGGAATAAGAAATAGATCTTAAAGTTTTAACATTGTAGAAATTTGAGTTCTACCAATGAGTAGTTTCTCTTCATGTTGTACATGCCATGTTACAAATTTCTCATTTACTTATTGTATTCTCTATGTAATACAGTTGTAAATTCCATTGAAATAAAAAAAAAAAAAAAAAAAAAAAAACATTGTAGAATGATTTGTTTAAATTCAAGTGCATTAATATTTTCACGGGTCATTAAGATATGGTGTTATAAATATTTTTCATGTATTCTCAAATTAATCTCTTTTAGTTTCAATTTTTTTAATGTTTTACATCTGAAGCACCGTTGTCTATTTTTTAAAGAAAATTATCAATGATGAAAAAAAAATATTTAAGCCGATATTAGAAGGTAACTTTTATTTATTTTAATTTTCATTGGGTATAATAAATCATTCTGTAATAATTTGCAGCGTTTTTGTTTGTGACCTTCCATACACTTGTTTACTTTATTTAATCTTTAAAACAGTTGTTGACAAAAAATACATATATGTATACCAAATAATCGTTCGCTGAAATACGCTTAGAAATATATCTCTTTAATATCTGTCATTATCAGAGAGCACTACAGACATTCAACACTTTTGACCGCCTTTTTTGAAAGTTTTGTGTCAAATCGATATGTTAATCAGTGAAACAATGAAAAAAATTCCTTTACTAAAATATTCACATCAAGAAAATAAACATATCGAACAATATTCCGAAAAACAATTGAAAGTAATCGTATACGATACTGTACGGTCAATAAAAGATCCAGAAAAGCCATTTAACTTGGAAGATTTAGATGTAGTTTATGAAGATGGTATAGAGGTATCTAAAGGTCTCAATGGAGATGAATATGTATATCGGATAAGAGTAGAGTTTAAACCGACTATTCCTCACTGCAATCTCGCTACCTTGATAGGGCTCTGTATCAGAATGAAGCTGAAGGAAAATCTTCATGTAAGATACAAGTTAACAATCCGAGTCAAAGAAGGATCTCACGTTTTAGCAGACGATGTTAATAAACAAATAAACGACAAGGAAAGAGTTGCTGCTGCAATGGAAAATAAATCACTCAAGCAATTCGTCCTAAATTGCATCAAAAATGAAGAATGACCAGTCGCTTTATGCTTTAAAATTTAAATTTAAAATATTAATTAATTAATTATTAATTAATTTAAAATATTAATGCATTAAAAATGTTAAATAAATCTCATGTTCCACAATTACGCAATAGTATTTACTTTGGATACTAAACAGACTAGTCTAGATTGTTACCCATACATATACGGAAAGGATACGGACGTGGGATTACCAATTTCAATGGCAATTTTTTTTTCTAATATAAAGAAAAAACAATTTTGACCCATACCTATCTCTTGCCAATGCGCCATAGGAACTGGGAAAATATTTTATAAAATTATATATTTTTTTAACTTTCTCATATACTTCTTATATTTCAATGGATTTGTTTTTTTGTAAAATAAGAAAACAATATAGAATACTGAATATTGTTCATTGTATTAAACGAATTCTAATGTATAATAAATTACATAATGATGTATAGATGGTTGACCGTGATATAATATGAGAAGGAGTTGATCGGGGGGTGAAGTAAAATAAATACTAAATTATAGAAATAGTATTATTTAATTTTTATGCAGACGTTTTGACCCACTTTGCAGGTCTTCATCAGGGCGTGGGATGTGGCACTGCGGGAGGCAGTTGGAACACTGTTTTTTGTAATTTATTGAAACACTACTATTTCTATAATTTAGTATTTATTTGACCGCACCCCTCCCCCTATCAACTCCTTCTCATATGATAAATTACAAAACCTAAAGCCTCATTCACTAAAGTAGGCAAAGGAAATTTTTTTCATGAAAAAAAAAACGAATCAGATTCGTTTTCACCGTCCAATAAATCTCGCATATACGAGTTTGTCTCTATATTAAAATAAGGAAGTTTTTGTCCTCAATTTTATGGGAGGTTTTTTTTTTTCTTATTATTTACTAAAATATTCATAAATTCTCAGGATTTTCTCCTAAGCCAATGTTTTTACAACCATTAGAAAGTTCTTAGAAACAATATTAATAAATTTTAGATTTTATGCCTTTATAAGAAATAAATGAAGAAAAAAACCACAAAAGATTTTATTTTATATCTCGAAGCCTAATTTATTTGCAGACTTGGATGAATCTATTTCAAACTTGATGTTCCTTTTCTAATCTATTTTTGATCCTTATACTGGAATCTTTCGAAAGAGCAAAAGACTTCTAGAAAGTAAGCTTTTTTCTATTACTCCATTCCACAATAAATAATGATATTCTCAAATAGTAGTTACCAATCATTAATAGAAAATACGTCTCTTCCTTAGCCTAGTGTTGCCCAAAATCGGTTTGGGTCAAGACCAAGACCGCCTAATTGTCGCAAAAGCAAGACCAGGACCGGTAATAAAAAGTATATATATATTGAGATAAGAGATCTTTACTGACTCAACAAGATCGAAATTGTTAAACCAAGTATCCATGCGACTGATAACCGCACAAACACATTTTAATGTTTTCTTGATTTTGCTGAAACTGAGTGTTTTACCCTTTGTCTTAAAATATCATCAGGTTTTACTCTTGATGGTTTCTTTTTACAAAAAAACCTCCCCGTAAAAATTAACGAACAAAAGTTATGGTCCGATAAATTCAATCTCTCTCTCCTGGAATTTTTAAAAATCCTCTTTAAAACACTTAGCGGGAATGTTTGTGTTCCCTGGTGTATGGCAAATATACTAGATATCTTCAAACAAATACTGGTTAATCTCATCCAGTAAAACGTCTGCCCAGAAGTTGTTTCGAAAGTAATAACGTGAAAAATTTGATTATGTTTTAATTTATACTTAGTGGCAAGTACTATTTTATTTTACTTTTAGCATTTATAAGCTAGAGCACTGTGTGGAAGAAACTAGATCTCCAACTATGTTTCTTTGATTTGTTGCCTAATGGTCAACTAAGCTTTCATTCGAAGATCTCTTCTATGGATCCTTCTACACTTTTCGACATTGACGTCTGAGAAACGAGGGAAGAGAGGTTATAATTAAAAGAAAGAGTTTTTAATCGACTTATTTTTATTAACAAGAATATTTCGACAAATGTTTATTTTGCAACAATTTCAACATAAAAAAACATTGTTACAACCTGTTGGATAAATTGTAATTTACTTGTAATAATTAATATTTTAATGAGTATAAAATTTGATTTCCGGAGTCTATAAGAAGATCTTAGCCTAAAAATATTATTTTTTCTCCCACATGTTTCTATAATATATCTCTCCTTGGAATCATATTTTACTAAAAAAAGAATGTATGATGAAATAGACATAAATAATTCTATATTTCTACCAATCCCACCTCCTTACGACGGCAATATAAATGAAACGAAAAGAACCAAATTAGCAAGGTAAATGACAAAAAAATCATTAAAAGCAGGCAAAAAGTTACAATGGGAAACACCTAAAATTGGTATTTTCAGAAAGTTGAGAAAAACTCTTTTTTTTATTATGTAGCTTCAATAATAAAAATCTAATCTAAAAAGCTATTTGTTTGTTTGTTGGGGTTTCAAGGCGTAAAACGCCCAGGTCATCAACGCCTGCAAATTAATCTTGTTTATATTTGGATTAAATTTTTAAACAATTTTCAATTTTATTTAACAAATTGTTTAATTTTAAGAAATCTAACACTAACTTTATAGTGTCTTCGTCATCACTTAAAATATTTGATATTGGAGGTGTAAGTTCTATACTATTTAGATTTCATAAGTAAAAAGAACATTCCTGTAACATGTGGCTGACTTTAAGTGTATTATGTTAGTGTTGATATTGTGGTGGTGGCTGCTTGCTAATGAGATGTGAATATGTAAGATTCGTGTACCTTACTCTTAGTCTGGTTAAGACATAGACAGCTTTGGTTATGGTCCTGAAAGTTTTTTACTGAAAAGTTTGTAGTTTTCGTATCTGGGTCTTTTTGGCTGTCCCGTAAATTTGTGAAGCGTAGGTCCACATGCGCTTAAGTAGGTAATTGTAAGTGTTCAGTTTTTGTTTTATATTTAATTTTGAGTGTCTTGAGAGAAGTGGGTAGAACATTCGTAGTCTGAGGTTTAAAGTTTTTCTTTTCTTGTTAATATCTGGGCACCATCTCATTCTTCTGTCGAATGTCGGTTCAAGATATTGCATTTTGTCTGTCTGAGGAATTTCGGCATTGTAAAGATAAACAGGAGGTCATGTTTCATGTCGAAGTGTGAAAGTAATTCATTTCAAAATTTATCTATAAAAAAAAATCTTTAAAAATGTTTTAAATTGATACTTGAAGAAAAATGAATTAAAAATTTAATGAATGAAATTTTAAAAAAAATTGGCTTGTATCGCGTCACGTGACGTGAAAGTTCCTGGGTACCACAGTTCTTTCATCTTCTTATTATGCATTCGTTTCTTTTCTTCCGACGAGGCAAAGCCCCAGTCAACGCAAATTTTGGATTTCCTTTCATGACTAGCTTATATTATGAACTTTACAGTGCGAAACATTAAGACGTTATATAACCAACAATTTTATTGCTCAAAAAATTTCAAAATAATAACAAATGCTCCTTGCCACTTAGCAAACAAAAATATAAATAAATGGATGTAAAATATAAACAAATAAATTAATGATGCCAGTTCTAAGTGAAACTCCTTGCTGAGCACACCTCAGTGAAAAATACCTGCAATGTCGATTCGAAACGTTGGCTTTTAATAAAATAGTTTTGCTACTATTCAGTCTATTTATGACCGCCACCCCGGTTCATCTCCCTACTTAATAAATAAATGAAACTAATCGTCAAACAAGATATAAGAACTTATTTTCAAACTGAGAGCCTTTATGCGCATTATCGGGAAGATGGCTGAAAAAGAGCTGGATGAGAGAATTATTTTATACACAATTCCCTCCCACGGAGATTGCAACTGAGTAACCATCTGCCTAATTCATGAAAAGCTATATCTGGAATGTATCGATATGTAGATTTAGGTTAGTGTAGCAGGTAATACTTGATAGAAGATTTTGTCGCCACCACGTTAAAATAACGAATGTGAATTTCTCCAAATATTGTATTTCGATTATGATGATTCCAAAATTATTAACAACAAAATGTGCATATTTAACGAAGCGATATGTTCGTAGAAATGGCATGACTTGCTCCAATCTTCCGATCGCTGTTCGGATTCCACATTTATTGAGAGATGTTCCAATCTATCACAATTAAGTACATTTATAATAGTGTTCAGCGAGCACATTCACACTCTATCAACAAGAAATAAAAAAACGTCTGCCAAGTAAGGTCAGTATAGCTTATTTATCGTTTTCATTGGCTAAAAAATATCTATATTACAAGATCTAACATTTTTCTTATGAGAATAAAATCTGTGGGAGAAGCCGAATTAGGAAATTCAGTAATTCCTCAACACATACGGGTCTGATACTCACGAGTTTTGTACATTGAATACTAAAATGTGAAAGAGTTCTGCATTTTCATATTTAATGATTCGTTATTAAAAAAATGTTCCAAGACCAAGATGAGCTAGTTGAACTTCCATAGAAATAAACACAATCACAAATAAGTCTTTTATTTTAATACAAACTCAGAGTGAAAATTAATTTAAATTTACTGAAAATTACACGAAATATAAGTAACAGCAGTAAGTGTCATGCCAATAAAGTTTGTAATCGACCCAACAATACATTATAAATATATTTTTTTTTTAAAACCTAAAATTTTATAATCCCACAAAAATATTGTGTTAACCTAATTCCCACACCAGATGATCAATGCCTTCCACATTTCACTTCCATTATATTGTTAACAATTATTTACGTTAATTTTGATTATTAAATGGAATTCAAATAAATTGATACCAGATAATTTATATACTATTCTCCAAATATCACGAAATTTGGAATAAATCGAACCCGTAGTTTTCTATAGGCGTGTCGGATATTGAATTTCCTGATCTGAAAGCGGAAGTATTATTTTTTGGAGTAGTGGACGGAATTCGATCAAATTCATACATACTTGATTGTCTGTTTACCAATCTCTAACTTCCCTCCAAATTTTAGCCAACTCGAAGTGGCGGCTTTAGAGATATAGACGTATCAAGGAAAACATGTTTGCACATATATAAGAAAAATCAATGGACATAATTCAA